CTTCTGTAACTCCCCTACACATTCCTCAACTGATCAATGTTGACCCAAGTAGGTAGGGACAACTCTATGCCCCTATTCAGCAGGAAGAAGTTACAGAAGATGAGACCTTCCACCTTCAACAACCTTAAAGATTTAAGGGTAAAAATTTTCAGGGGGGAGTGATGTGGGAAACAGAGGCAGAAGAAAATCATTAAAATTCCTTAGCTACTGACAAGCCCTTGAAACAGACAGAGTGGCTTTCCCCTGGGGACTCAACTGCCCTCACCTTGAGGTTTTGTTAAGGACAATCCTAGCCTGACCGACCCCCTACACTGACAGGTCCGACCAGGATCCTGTAAGTCTACTCTAACAATTCCTTTAGGAAACTTTATCTCTAAACCTCCAAGATGGTGTTGAGAATCATTCCCAAGCATATGGCCCATTGATATACATCTAAAGGGTCTCACAAGGAGATTTTTACTACTGGTAATAAATAACCTTTCTCCCAACAATAACTAGCCCCTCAAGGCCCTGGAGACCTTGCTTCCAAAAAGCCTTGGAGACTTACATCATCCCTAATCCCCTTTGTCCTCACCCACCACCAAGTCCACCCCTACTCTGCCTGTAAAAACTCTGATTGTAATCTGGTTCGGGGCCAAGTCCCTACTCCACTGTGCTGGGTATACTTGGGCCCAAGCTTAAGCTTGTTAAATAAATCCTCATGTGATTGCATCAGTGTTGGCTCCTTGGAGGTCTCTCGGACATGAAAACTTGGGTACAATAGGGATTCTGAGCTCCTACCTAGTAGCCAGAGCTTTCAGTTTGAGTCCAACCAAGTTAATTCCCTGATAAATCAAAAACATCAGCACTTTTTGTAAATATAAAAGAAACCAGAATCCCCATGCATCACGTTCAAAATGTACAAAACAAAATGTGCAAAACGTTCAAGATAGAGTCCAAAATCACTCCATGTAGAGACTCAGGAGAATGTGACCCACTTTCAAAAATAAAACCAACAAATAAAAATAGTAACAGAAATTAACCCCAAGATGGCCTAGATAAGGACTTGAAAGCAACTGAAATCTTTATGTTCAATGAGATAAAGAAAAATATGTCCCTAACAAAAACAAAATAGTAAATCTCAGCAAAGACATAGTAACAATCAAATATGAGTGAAATGTAAATTCTACAATCAAAATGTAGAACTTAAACAAAAATTCACTGTAAATGTCTAAGAACTAAATAGGGCACAAAGGGAAGAGAGTCAATGACTTGAAAACAGATCAGCAGAAATTATCCAATTTTCAGATCAGGGAGAAAAAAATTAAAAGGAAGTCTTACAAAACAATATCAGAAAGTCTAAATTAGAGGTGCCTGGGTGGCTCAGTGGGTTAAAGCCTCTGCCTTCAGTTCAGGTCATGATCTCAGGTCCTGGGATCGAGCCCTGCATCAAGCTCTTGGCTCAGAAGGGACCCTGCTTTTCCCTGCCAACTTGCCTGCCTCTCTGCTTACTTGTGATCTCTCTCTGTCAAATAAATAAATAAAATCTTAAAAGGTCTAAATTAGAGTCACAGAGGAGAAGGAAGTGAGAATACAATAGAAACAGAATTGAATAAATAGAAAATTTCCAAAATTTTCTGAAATCCATAAATTTACAGATTCAGGAAGCTCAGCCAAAGTCAAGTAGGATAAGTATGAAGAAAAACATATCTCATGCACATCGTAAACAAAATGGTAAAAACCAAATGCAGAAGGAAAATTTTGAAAGCAGCCCAAGTAAAATAATACAAGAGATCCAAGGGAACATCAGTTCCAATGACTAACAAATACTTGTGAAGAATAGCTAGACTGGGGGACTAACATATTTAAAGTGATAAAATCAAAGAAAAAACAACATGTGAATCTGTAATCTGTGAAAGTACCCGTCAGGAATGAAGATGGAATAACGTTTTCAGATAGATGTTAAGGAAAACGTTAAAGGTAAGAGAAGTCATCATCTAAAGACCTGCATTGTTAAAAAAAAAAAAAAATGCTAAGGTAATATCCTTAGTCTGAAAGGTAATGACGACTGATGAAAACAAAAGTCCCCAGACACAAAGAACGTAAGAAATAGTCAACAGTGAGCTTAACATAAAAGACAACTTTTTCCTCTTGACTTCTTTAAAATATATGTCTGGTTTAAGTGTGGAGATTCCTTAAGAAATTAAAAATAGAGCTTCCCTATGACCCTGCAATTGCATGACTGGGTATTTACCCCAAAGATAAAGATGTAGTGAAAAGAAGGGCCATCTGGACCCCAATGTTTATAGCAGCAATGGCCATAGTCGCCAAACTGTGGAAAGAACCAAGATGCCCTTCAACAGACGAATGGATAAGGAAGATGTGGTCCATATACACTATGGAGTATGATGCCTCCATCAGAAAGGATGAATATCCAACTTTGTAGCAACATGGACGGGACTGGAAGAGATTATGCTGAGTGAAATAAGTCAAGCTGAGAGAGTCAATTGTCATATGGTTTCCCTTATTTGTAGAGAATAACAAATAGCATGAAGGACATGGGGAGATGGAGAGGAGAAGGGAGTTGGGGGAAATTGGAAGGGGAGGTGAACCATGAGAGCTATGGACTCTGAAAAACAATCTGAGGGTTTTGGAGGGGCAGGGCGGGAGGTTGGGTGAGCCTGGTGGTGGGTATTGTGGAGGGCATGTATTGCATGGAGCACTGGGTGTGGTGCATAAACAATGAATTCCGGAACACTGAAAAGAAATTCAAAAAATAAATAAAAATTTAAATATATATATATATACATATATATATATACACACACACCTGGTTTAAAGCAAAATAATCACACTCTCTGGGGCTACATACCACATGAAGTTGTAATACATACAACTCCTACAGCATAGTGATGGAGTGCTGACAAATAAATATAGAGACTAGCAAAGTTTTCCATTTTATGGAAAGTGATAGGTTATTAACTCTAATTAGACCACAATAAGCTATACATATATACTTTCTAGATCCATCACTAAAAAATGCAGAGGAATAGCAAAAATGACCAAAGATAAAAGACAATTCTGAAAGAAAAAAAAATAATCAGTTAACACAAAGAAGACAGAAACATAGCTATTGTTGTGGCAAACAGGATTGGAAGACCCAAGGTCAATCATAATAATTACACTAAATGTTAATGGACAAAACATTCCAATTAATACCAGAGGTGATCAGAAGGAATTTAAAAAAAAAAAGCAAGACCCAATTATATGATGTCTAGAAAAGAGGCACTCTGTTTTTTAAATTAGCCTTTTTTTTTAATTTGAGAATAGTGGACACACAATGAGAAACAGTTTAAATATAAAGCCACACATTGGTTAAAGTGATGAGAAAATGTACACCATTTAAATACTACACAAAATTTAAAGTTTTAAGGAAATTTTAATTTAATTAAGTTTTAACTCTAAGGCTATGTTTATCTTAGCTTAACTGGACTCAAAGATAAAGAACATTAGCAGGTACAAAGAGATAAATTATGAAGGATCAAAGGTTCAATTCATCAGGGAAACAATTCTTTAAAAAACTTGTAATACCAGAGAACTTCAAAATACATGAAAGCACACTTGAAAGGATAAGAACTCTAAAATAATAGGGGCACCTGGGCGGCTCAGTGGGTTAAAGAAAGCCTCTGCCTTTGGCTCAGGTCATGATCCCAGGGTCCTGGGATCGAGCGCCACATTGGGCTCTCTGTTCAGCAGGAAGCCTGCTTCGCCCTCTCTCTCTGCCTGCCTCTATGCCTACTTGTGATCTCTGTCTGTCAAATAAATAAATAAAATCTTTAAAAAAAGAACTCTAAAATAATAGCTATCTATGTTTTTAAAATTTTCACCATCATTATCAAACAACTTGAGTAGGTAGTTCTGGGTTGACAATTTTTTCTCAGTTTGAGGAGATAATACTCTGTTGTCCTGTGGCTTCCTTGGGGCCCTAGCAAATCGACTCTTGTTTTAAAACTTTTTACTTCATGGGAAATCTGATGTTTCCTTCCGATTGATTTAAAGTTCTTTTGTTGGTCTTTTGTAATCTGCAGTTTTCCCATGATTGTCCAAGGAATGGATATATTTTTTTATGCTGTTTAGAATTGTTTTTTAAGTGTGCTTCCTGAATGCTTTTCATTAATTAAAAACATTTTCATCCATATTTCTCTATTTTAAATATTGCCTCATCTTTACTCTTCCTACTCTGTACTTCATGGAATATGATGAATTACAACTGAAGACAATTACAACATCCATTACAATAACATTGATTATTTACTGTACATATAGTGATTTCCGGTGAATTAATGCATGTAGTGTTCCCAGCTACTCCATCCAATAGACTCTGGTTTCCCCCATTTTATACGTGAAAACACCAAGAAACAACAAGTTCTCCCCAATCAAAGGTTACCAAGAAGAAGAACCAAGACCTGTAGGTGGGAATTTTGTAAGACAGAAAAAGAAGGAAAGAAGAAAAGGCAGGAAATCAAGGAGTGGAAATGAGTAGGACATTACTTCCAGTGTTCTGTACATCATCTGCTTCAGGTTGAAACAAAATATTTATCATCACTGATGATAAAAATAAGATGTCTGGGTTGAGGATCTGCAAGTAGAAGTTTCTACCACAACTACATAAATACAATGCTATCAGACCTACCACTTCTAATCATCTTCTAAGAACCACAGGCCCATAAGAATCTCCAGAAGGTCACCTTGGTCTATCCTCTTGCTTGAACAATGACACAATTGTATAAAAACATGACTCCACAAGTGCTCTACTCCAGGTTCACTGGTATCCAGGTCCACTTTCACTACATTGAGCTCCTGGACAGGACTTGAAGAAAGAACTGAAATCTGAGGGTTTAAAAAAAAAGGTGGAAAGCATAATTATTTGTCCCACATGGAATGAATGAGTCAGCTGAGAGTTGTTCCCATGACCTCTGTAACAGTGTATGGGTGGTGGGGAACATGTGTCCCCTTTCTGCTCACCAAGCAGTGGAGAGGATGTCATATTCTTTGTCACACCCACAAAAGGGAAAAGTCCCACAACAGGGCTGCAACCATGGTTTCCAAATGGTGTTGAACACTGAGAACTGCTGTGGGACAGGTGTGAGTGTCCTGCGATGCTCTTTGATGGCTGCCTCGACTTTCTTGACCACCGAGTCAAATAACGCTTCATTATCAGGGTTAAGAGGTCGGGCCTCAGAAGGGTCTTTGGAGACGTCAAAGAGCAGGGGAGGGTCATGGTAGGTGACATCTCCAGAGCATGAACATATACCACTTCCATAACAGGCACCAGCCCCATCTGGGGAGAAGTTGGGAGTCACATAATGGACCTTCCACACAGTTGCACCTGGAAAACAGAACTCCATTGGAATGCTGTATTTATCATTTTAGGACTCTTTCCATTAATATATTTCTCAAATACTTTTGCCAAAAATTGATAAACTTTTTTGAGTTTATTTTTCTAAGATTTAATTTTTTATTTGAGAGAGAGAGAGAGAAAGCCTGAGCAGGGGGAGGGACAGAAGGAGAAGCAGACTCCCTGCTGAGCAGAGAGCCCAATGTGGGGCTCGATCCAAGGAACCTGAAATCATGACCTAAGCCAAAGGCAGATGTTTAACCACCTGAACCATCCTGGTGGCCCTGATCCTGGAAATTCTAATTCCAGTCGCTACTTTGCTCTGACGTGGCATAGGCAAAGTGGAAAATTTTCTAAGGCTAAATACCAATTTCAGGTCTGATACTGACCAAGGTGATTTGTCAGGATGCATCATTCCTTGTTCTGTTCTTCCTCCCTCTGCCCCTCTTTCTCTCCTCCTTCCTTGTTTCTGTTCTTTCTTCCTGAATAAATGGTTAATAGTTTTATATCCAGAAATCAATTTTAGATGGAAAACATCATAAGTGTTTCCCAGCCTCTGATCAATGAGGCTTACACAGAATTCTGTGAAAGTGGTTTTGCAGAAAGGCTATGATTTTCTAATACAATTAGGCTAAATCCCCTAACTCAGTCCTTTACCCGCTTTGCTCTTCTGTCTCCCTCCTCTATGGAGAGCAGAGGTGATGGCTGGAGAAACAGCAACCACTTTGCCACCAGACCATTAGAAGGAGCATAAGAATGAAAACGTGCATGCCAGAAAGGGCCAGGTAGAAATAAATAAAGAACCCAGATCCTTGTCATGGCATTGAGCACTTCCAACTTCTGAAATCCTTATTATGAAAATATAAGTAAAATTCTATTTGTTTAACGTTTTATAGTTAAATTTGGGAAATTTTTGTTGTTGAGAGGAGCTGTTTTGTTTTGTTACTTACCATTGATCATGCCCCTAACTGTGACAGAATCTAGAAGGAAGAGGTTTTTGTGGGTTTCTTCTAGTTTTATGGGGAGATTGATCCACACTAACCTAAAGAATGGATTACACCACAAGTGATGGGTCACATGGAAGAAAAATCCATATATTTTCTGCAAATTACGTTAACTCCCATGAAGTAAGAATTCTAGTGTCTACAGATGTAAGGAAATGAATATTTCTTGTTAATTTTTATTTGTTTCCATGAATCCTATAGTAAAAAGGTAAGGAGGAGATGATTAACTGGAAGGGGACGGTCACTGCTGTGGGAGTCACACTGCAGACTTTATTCCTTGTTGCTAATTATTTCCATGTCCTTGGTTCTAGATATTCATATTCTCTCTTTCTGTCTCTTTTTCATTCTGATGTATTCATGCACACAAGCTTACACACACCTCTAAAATATACCACGTGGCAATGGCTGCTTAACTAACTTCTTTAAGGAAAAAGAATCATCATAGCTGGGTGCTGGGTGCATGGCCCAACTTCCCCCAAGAGGAAGAGGAAACGGGGTATGTCTTTATTGTGTTCCCACATGCCTGCCATCTTCATACTCACAGTCCTTCTGATGCCACCTGGCTGTGTGCAGGTAGACCCCACAGTAGTGGAAGAGGAATTCGTGCTCCGAGTGGGACACCCTGCCTTCCAGCAGGGGCATTAGATTGCGGCCGTCAATGATTCTTAGGAGGGAGGGAGAGATAAACAAAGTGGTGAGAGAGGCATGATTTGGTCATACATATTATGACGGGGGGCAGGGGAAGAAGAGGAAGGAGAAAGAAGAAGGAGGAGGAGGGGGAGAAGAAGAGGAAAAGTAGAAGGAGGAGGGGAAGGAAGGGGAGAAGAAGAATGGACTCTAAAAAAAACTTATTGCATACCTTCACTCATTTTATAACAAAAAAAACCCAAACAAACAAAAAAGAGGTGAATCTTACACAGTTTCTAAGACAGTGGGAGAGGTGAGTGGCTGGAGCTGTTTCCATACCTGTCCTGGGGTAATATTCCTCCACCTATATAAGACAGGGTCGGGTAAATGTCCATTAGGCTCGTTGGCTCATCAATCACTTTCCCAGCCTTCAGGACTGTCGGCCACCGGAATATTCCTGGGACACGAATGCCCCCTTCCCATCCGCCCATCCCCTGGCCACCTGAAACCAAAGATGAAAGTCAATGATGAAGTCAAGTCAACCGTATTTCTCCACTCAGTTGGGCATTACATCTAGATGGAACATTTCTGCTGCTTGCCAAATTCATGCCAATGTGCTATATTCACACACGGAGAGAGATACAGAATACCTCAGATATACTTCTTGCTTTCCAGAAGCTGAAACTCGACTTCTGAAAGTGGCCATCAGGTGACAAACCCAACTGTCATAAATAAAAACAAGTGATGTCCTAATATGATGCTTTATTTGGTGCCATCTACCTATCCATCCATCCATCCATCCATCCATCCATCCACCATCTACTTATCTATCCTAAATTGTTTCATAAAGTACAAGAAACTGCTAAAGTTCTGACTTTTGTAATGATGGCAAGTTTGACACCCTTTTACTTTTTTTGATTGGGGTTGGGGTGGTCGGAGGGAAGTAGCAAACACCAAATTCATTTTTAAACTCATCTGTTTAATCTACTTTGCCAATCCACAAAGGCAGGCTCAGTGGGGCTACTGAAAAACCCAGCAGGTGTACGTCAAGTAAGTCAGAAGAATCCACTTGCAGTGAGGAGGAAGGCACCTGCTCGAAATGAACACCTCCTTTCCTGATCATTTCACTGTGTTTGAAGCATAGTGATAACATAATTGATTTCATTCCATTAAAAGCCTGGATTTGGGTTCTCGGGTAAGTATTATTCTAGTGGAAGTGGTCTCAGCTAGAAAGGACTTTGGCCCTGGGAGACACTCGGCAATGTCTGGAAACAGTTTTGGTTGTCATATTTTAAGGGGAGAGGTAGGTGCTCCTGGCAACTCTAGGGTGATGACCCGGGACAAGCTCAACACACTTACAGTGCCCAGAACACCCCACATCAAAGAGTCATCCAGCCCCAAATGCTCAGGGTGCCAAGCCTGAGAGACCTGCTTTAGATGGTCATTGAGACCCTCTGCATTTTCACTCAGGAGGCTCTCATTACTTCAGGCACTTTGGTCTTAAATTCTCAGGAACCACCCCCAAACCTGCACATTTTTCTGTCTGGTTTCGTAAGAGGGGACAACTCCCGCGAAATTCTCCAAACTGAGTTTGCAAATGAATGCACATGCAGGCACAGAAAAGTACACGCCACGGGAGGGATGAAACTCAGACACATGGGGTCTCTGCACATTACCTTTGTAGATGCCGTTGTAGCCCCCCAGCTGGGCCTCGCCTTCCTGCACCTCCAGGCGACCCCCGTTATCAGAGGTGAAGTACACCAGCGTGTGGTTGGTCAGGAGCTCCCGGTCCAGGGTCTCCAGGATCCTACCTGGTGCGGGGGGAAACAAGAAACTCTCACCTTTCACCATGGGCCACTGTCAGGGCATGATGTCATTATTAGGCATGGGTTAGCATTAACAGTATAATTAAGGGTTATTTTATGGTATAGGCTATCATAATAGACAATAAATCGTGATTCTGTACTCTAATATATATGTAATATATTTTAGTATACTATAGAGTACAGACGTAAATATATACTCTATGCCATAGAAGGCATATACTTCAGAGTGTAAAATGTACAATTGAGCTTTAGATAGTTAAAATTATTTGTTATATATTTTACATTATATTACTTATATATGTATGTTAAAGCATATTCAGTATAAATACATAATAAAGAGCAAATATGTGATATAAATTATGTCTAAATATAATAATAAACACAATTATATTTAAAATATAAAAATATATAAGATGTTTAGATATTATATTTTAAATGATAAATTATAATGCATAATCTATACTATAATATATGATAAGTATGTTATTTGTATGTAAACATATAAATATAATTTATGTATTATAATCCTATATACTTCCTATATTATGAATATTATATGGTAATATGTAATATATGGTATGCAAATATGTAATAAATGATATGTAGGCATAATGAAATATTTGTGACCATAAAACTTATATTTAATAATACCTTAAAATAGTATATTAAATATATAAATATATTATATATAAATATATAGATATAAATAAATAAATGAATTATATAATATAAATAACCTATTAAAATATTGTATAATATTTGATGATTATCTATTATCTAATAGTATTATATAATGGTTACTTATTTATAACATCAACAGTATTTTATTATGTAATATGTAATTTTATTATATGACAGTTAATCCATCATTTTAGTTTTAGTTTTAATTATTTTCTTACATAATACTTAAGAAATATAACATATATAAAATATACATAATATATGAATTTAAAATAAAATATATACTACACATAGGAAATATATATTATATAATATATAAGAAAATATATTTATTTTTCAAATTACATAGTAATACATATACATATTATATATTATATACATCACTATGCATACACATACAATATATTAGAAACTATGAACTAGTATGAAGTATACAACAAGATCATCACTCAAAATCCAAGTAACGATCACGTATTAGGCCTGTCAGTTCAAAGAAACTCAAAAACACTAATAAAACAGAGAAGACGCTTTAAAAACTGACATGTCCAGGAATAAACACACAGGTTCATACCCTTGTCCTGGAGAGCATGAGCCCCACCTCATAAAGGAGGCAGTAACCCCACACACCGTCTGAAGGTTGCTCCTGACCTACAGGTTATTCTTCTCCTTAAGCATAGGACCATAATGAGTCCTTCACTACACTCTGCAAGCATCATGCTGATGTGTGGGTAATCTCCGAAGCGGACAAAGGGCTTTTTGTTTTTCCCTTTAAATATTATGTATTTATTTTTCCCTCTAAATATTACACTTATTTATTTGTCAGAGAGAGAGAGAGAGAGAGAGAGAGAGAGACAGCAGAAGCAGGGGGAGCCACAGGGAAGGGAGAAGATGAGGGAGAAGCAGGCTCCCCACTGAGTTGGACACGGGGCTCCAATCCTGGGACCCTGGAAACACTACCTGAGCCAAAGGCAGATGCTCAACATACGGAGCTACCCAGGCATCCTGGGAACAAAGGGCCTTTGAACAAAACAAGTAGAAAGCTGATCTAGCCACATCCCAAACTATGCTGACTTAATTTCCAATTCCAGCGGGACATTCACCCTGGGTTCCGTATGGTCACACCACAGTCCTACCCTCCAGTGAGACTCCCCCCCACCACAATCTTGCCCCGTTCAAACATGGAAAGACAATGCGGCCGGCTGCAAAGAAAACGGGTTTAAGCATCAACTCCTCGAACTTTCTGTTTCCTTGTTGAAAAGTGACTTGTTTTGGAAGCCACACTAACCATTTTTTAGAAATGTTGCAGCCAGAAATTAACCTACTTTAAAGCCCAGATTTCCTAAGAAAAAGATTATAATGGCTTTTTGGTAAGAGAACAATTTACCTGTAAAGTATCAGTTCTCATTCATTCGATCTGGCTATCGTCTTTAGCATAAAGGTTATCTGTAACTTACACCAAGTAAATAAAATACATGCGAATCCTTTTATTTCTTGGAAATACATACTCGTAAACTTCTGTGTGTGCAATTGTAAAACATATAGAAGCGTGCATGTACACGTATGTGCATACGGCAACAGAATAGCCATAAAATCTTTTACAAAAATACAAGGAAAGAAAGCAAGAATCAAAACCTGCTAAAATATGTTTTTAAAGTACAAGTTCTCTCCAATAGAGGATTTAAAATATTCCTGGACACTTGGAGCTATCAGGAGATCTGTTTTGTGTGTCATTCTGAGGACACTACTGTTATGGCTTCTCCTGGAGAAAGTTATTAATTTAGGAAATGATTTAAGTTTAATCATCATATTACCAACTAGAAAACACACACACACACTCAAGATGCCTCTCTGATTTTTGATCTGCGTCTGATTTTGACAGAATTTTCATAAGCCATGCAAGGGGAAAAATGCAGTGTCTTGGGAAGACATCATGCAGAGAAATATCTATTTTTCATTTCTCCCATGTAAACAGGATTAGCCTGGGAATGCAATTAAAAATATTACTAAATGCAATTAATAGTACTTACAGAGCACCTGTGTATTTACACAGAGTACAGAATAAATGTAATTAGCTGTTTGTGGCAAACTCTGCATATAAAAAGGGACAGAAAGTCTATTTGCATCAAACAGCTCTGTGACTCTAGATACGAATGGACCAGAATGCCTTGTTTCCAAAGCAGATTATCCTGGACCATAACAAACATCAAGGAAAATAAATCATAATCTTACAACTTCACTGAAGTTACAATGTTAGAAATGTTTTTACTGTAGCAGGTTTCAATGTTTGTATCTGCCAGGGAATTTAAAAAAATGTATATATTGTAGCTTGCACATACACACACATATAAACAGTATATGCATATGTATACATATGTGAGCATTAATATTTAATGTGCATGGATACACTTTAAATATTAATTTAAATCAATCATATACGTAATTGATATATTAATAGATATGAAATGCATGTTTATATATACCTAGGATATATAAAAGTAACATTTTTATATTTAAGAAACTTTAAAATTTTTCAATTCTGTGACTATTATTAGTCTAGGTGGTTCTGCAGAGAACACTTTCCAAAAAGTAGCAGAAAAAAAAAATACTTCCTTACACTTTTTGAGATAAAGAAATACTCCATCCTGCACAATTGATGGAAAAGGCTATTTGGAATGCTCGATTCATTGTTTTATTGATATGCATATGGTGATCCCTCCTCTCCCTACACCCCCACGTCCTCATTTATGACCCTTTGTGCTTGTTTCCACATTGACCCTTATGACTTTGAAACAAATGACTTCGGTTAAGGTAAGTTCCCTCCACATTTCTAAGCCTTTCCCGTAAAAATGAGCTAAGGAGAAAAACACATTTCCTTTCCTATCCATCAGAATGATGGGGAAGGGCAGTCTCATTTACTGTGTTGAACAGTCTTTATTTTAAAGATGGGAAAATCTCATATTTATAATTGCAACTGTTTTCATGCAGGGAATACTCACTGATTTTGCTGCACTGACAGCCAGACTTTGATTCAGTTCCTGGGAACAAATATTCACTGAGTGCCCAAGATCCACAAGGGGCTGTCCATTGTTTGAGGCAATCAGTATGCATTCACTTTCTCTAGCCCACACATCAGATACGTAAGATTGTTTTTCTGGACACTTACCCACCATCCAATCCATTTCTTCGACATTATCCCCATAGAGTCCATATTTACTGTGTCCCACAAATTTCTCTTTGGTGATCAGTGGAGTGTGGACATGCAGGAAAGACACGAAGAGGAGGAAGGGGCTGCGTTTATACCTAAGGGATGGAACGTGAACTAAGTTATTGTCACCAACAAAGGCATTTTCTCCAGGACTAGGATTCCACATCAGCTGAAAGATCTCGCAACAGTTGATAGAGGTTGTCTATGTTCCTACATGACCAATCCCCCTCATGAGATTAACAAATAGCCCAGAGGGACGTCCAAGGAGAGGCCATGAGTAGGAATAAAAAATATTGGGACATTTGCATTAGCAACAAAATAGTGAGTGCAATCTGTCTTCCGAAGAAAGACTTCTTCATTCCTTTCTCCTCCTCTTCTTCTGTGCTGTCTGGAACATAAATGTGATGGCTGGAGCTTTGGCATTAACTTTGGGCTATGAGGCTGGTTACGCAGAATCACAGGTAGCCAGATAGAAGGAGCTAAGGTGTTCATACATCTTGTCTGTTGTGTTCTGCACTTCAATATCCAATGGGGCCACTTAAGACTCCTCCTTCACACACTTTTACAACTGGGCCCTATAAAGGGGGAAGTGCATAGAGATTGGGTGTGTTCTGTCACAGACAGTCACGGGAGTGACAACCAGAGCTGAGTGACTACGTTGTGACCACTGTGTTAAAACAAAGACTCAAAGTGTATGAGTAGATGGGATCCCACTGTTGGACACATTAACCCCACAGCATTACACATTTTCCTCTTCCATCCACTCCCCTGAACCCCATACACACCAGCTCAAAGAGCATCCACACCCACAACTCAATCTGCTTCTGGCTAGTAACCTAGAAGGGAGCCAGCATGCAAAGATGGGAGACAATTACCTTCATGCCTACGTGGTTTGTATTGAACACATAAAACTTCAAATTAGGTATCTATACATGAAATGACTCCCTCATCATTCATGCACACAGAAGGATTTTCCAGCTGCTTCTAAAGCACATCAAATCAACATCAATCCCAAAGGTTGAATCCATTTAGATCCCAATCCATATTGAAGTGATATGGACCAAAGTATAGGGATTCCAGTGTTGATAAAAAAGAGTGAGCAAGATATATTTCTTTACCCTTTCAGTGTTTATAATTTACAGGAAATTTAATGCTCAGTTTTATCCGCAGGAGAGATTTAGTATATGAAAATATCACACACAGACACACGAAGGTCCAGAACCCCAAGATGAACCAACTTCTCTGAAATACAAGCAAAATTCCCATGCATGGAATCAGACCACAAAGGGCTCCATACCTGTCGATAAAGGCAAGAGCCTCCTTGAGCATGAGGGAACTCACTCTGTCCTCCCGCATAGGCTGCTGGATGATTTCATGGTTTCTCATAAGAATGCAGTTCCAACGTCGAGTAAACCCATAACTGGAGTACCAGACAATGAAAAAGAGAAAGGCAAGAAGAGCAAAGGCGATGATGACCTTCCACGGAACAGAGAACCAGTGGGCGAACTTGGGGATGAGCAGCAGGAGGGGGACCAGACAGAGCACCGCCGTGGAGATCCAGAGTTTGATCCGTATCCAGCGGTGAAGCTCTGCAGTCTTGGACATCTGACAGTCGTTGAGGAGGCCAAAGGGCAGCCCGTAGAAGTAGTCGAACCCATGGTTGAGTGGGTGGTAACAGTGATCGTCCCGAGAGGCACAGCTCAAACCCAGGTGCCACTTGCCTGCGGGAAAAACAAAATGGCAGCCGACACGTCCACCTGTTTCTAGAACGTGGGCTTTGCTTAGCAAAAGCTAAGTACGACTTGCACGTCTTGCCATGGGGGCATCTTCTTGGTACCCCAGTCACCGCCCTGAGGATGCTCAGAAGGTTGTCATAATTGCCACCAACACTGTTTTCTCTACACCCTGCATCTTTCCAACTCAAACGGGGCAGTAGAAACCCCTTTGCTCACTGCTCTCTCTCACTCTAAAATAAATCTTCAAAAATATAAAAATAAATAAAAGTGCACTCACTTCTCTGCTGGTAATAATGTTATGAAAGCAGTAAACCCCCCCCCCGACATGCCCCCCCTACAGAATATTCCATTTTGGTGATAACGATGGACAAGCCCATTTGCTTTTGGTTCCCATGATTCTACCCATACTCTGCTCAATATACCAAAGGTCTGGGAAAATCGTGCATTGAATCCCTACCCCACATGTCTCCTTTCAACAAGAGGGCAGCTGGCATGGGTCCAGCTGATGTCCTGGGAAGGTTAAATCCCAATATAAAGGGGATGTGCATGAACATGCTTCCGAGTTCAGAGTCCTGCGGGCCATACCTATGAGCCCCGTGCGGTAGCCACGATGCTGCAGCAACTTGGCAAAGGTCGTCTCATTGGTGGGCAGACCGCCCGAGCCTCCAAGCCAGGTGAGCCCTCGGTTCAGGTTGAAGGCAGATGCCATTCCTGAAGTCAGAGAAGGAGGCACTGTGAGTCCCACCGTCCCTCTTTCATGACCCTCACGACAAACTCCAGGATTCATCCTGCTCTCCTTGAAATGTCTTCTACTGCGCCTCCACCATTCTGTTCTTTTGAGAATGTTCCCTCACTTTTTTGTTTCTACTTAGCTTGTCCTCACATCTGTCAAAGGCACATGCTCTGTGTGGATCAGGATCACCAGCTCACACGTGATACCAGGTCACACTGGAATTTCATATGAATAATGAATGGTTTCTTATATAAGCACCAGATGTTGCATGGGGCATACTAAAAATCTAGTCATCGATGATTCAAAATTCAAATGTAACTGTGTATGTGACTCTGGATGATATCTTTGGACCTCAGTCATGAACTCTGATGCCATCTCTCTACCTAGTGAAAAACCCACATCTCCTCCAGACCCTCCTCTGAAGCTGAGGTCCTATCTAGACGTCTCTGTACTTAGGAACCCAAATCACAACATGACCAACACAGAGTCCGTGGTCATCGTACTTCAAACGTGCTTCAACAAAGGACGTCATGATCCCCCCCAGCCACCCAATGCATGAATTCCTTTGGGATCCTCCCTCTCACTCAACTTCTTCTGTCCAATCCCATGTCAAGTCCTGATAACTCTACCCCAGTAAATAGTTTGAATAGTTATCTCCCATGCCATAGCTTTTGAGCAGAGATACAGCTGGTCTGTGCTTGGATGTCCACCAGCCAAATGCTGTCCACCATCGCACGACCTTCTGAAGAACCCTTCCAACCCATTTCCGTCCCATAGTCAAACCTCATTACTGCCCGTCCCTCACCTTCTATTGAAATCTAAATCTGGGGTAGAGCTTACACTATGTTTGCCAATCTGAGACAACTGATTATTGCTGTGGCTGCCTCATTGACCTCTTGCATTCATGCCTGACTGCATTGTCTGTGCACGCCTCTTCCTCTGCTGAGCACACCCTCCCTCCTAACTCCTCACATTTCAAGCGACATCATCCAGGAGGACTTTCCTGGAATGCTGGAGGGGCCCCTGTGAGCTTCCTGTGCTCACTGAACTATCCTTGCATCTTGACCACTGGAACTTTGTGCCTTGAGGTGCACATGACTTACTGATGTTACAACCAACATGAATAAACCTGTATGAGGCACCTGGGTGGCTCAGTGGGTTAAAGCCTCTGCCTTCGGCTCAGATCATGATCCCAGGGTTCTGGGATCAAGCCCCGCATTGGGCTTTCTGCTCCGCAGGGAGCCTGCTTCCTCCTCTCTCTCTGCCTGTTTTTCTGCCTACTTGTGATGTCTGCCAAATAAATAAATAAAATCTTAAAAAAAAGAATAAACCTATACATGAAAGGCATCACACAAACATGCACAATCAATAAAAAATCAAAATATGTTAAAATAGCATTGTGATCCTATCTGCTTCTCGTTTTTCTGTTCTCAACAGAAATAAGTACATTAAAAAGGATGCCTTTTGCCAAATCCTAAAAGACAAAATCCCATTTATCATTTTCAAGAAAAGTGATTACATCTTTTAATTAATTATAAATATATGTATAGATGTTAGTGTGTGTATACAAATTTGATGGAGCAGAACTTTGATCTCATCTTCTTGCATGAGGAGAAACCCACGTCTCCTCCAGACCCTTCTCTGAGTTTGAGGTCCTATGCAGGCATCTCTATACTTGGGTAGAAACTTAGGGATTGGGAATATTGATAACTTCTATAACACAAAATGTTGAAAATGTTGCATCTCTATACTTGATGTATACCCTCTATACATCTCTATCCTTGATGTAGGCATCTCTATGCTTGGGTAGAAACTTAGAAACTTACGGATTGGGAATATTGGTAACTTCTACATCACAAAAAGTTCAAAATGCTGCAGCTGAGTATAAAAATCGATATTCATAATGTTGATGCTACAACGTCATGTTGTGCGTGTGTGTGAGACAGAGAATATGTACGATGCTCCTTCTGTTCCTTGTTCTTCCCAAGACCTAGGAGAAGAAAGCATGGCATAAAGACAACATCATCCTCACATAGCCCTGCCCCACCTGATCGGATGGGGTACCGGCCGGTCAGGAAGGCAGCCCGACTTGGGGTGCATACAGAGGCGGCTGCCAGGTGCTGGGTGAGTCTCACGCCCTCGCTTGCCAGGCGGTCAATATTGGGTGTGCTGCGGACAGAGGGAGGATTCAGCACGTGGGTCTCTAATTCTCAACGAGACAAAGAACATTCAAAGCCATCCTGTTTTGAGTCCAGTGGCCTGACTTTCCAGTAGACCTGAAACACATACCTCTTAAACGTCAACCTGTCGACCTGCTCGCATGCCTCCCCGACGGCCCCGAGGAGACGGAAAGCAGACTTTAAAACAATGTATCTTCAGGAAAAACAATTGCAGACTAATCGAGGTCCGCAGGTATAATTAGACCCTAGCCAATCTGAGCTCATAGGCGTTTCAACGCTAACGTTAGTCCCTTTGCTCATAATATATTCCTGAAGCGAACGGGTGACTTGGGTTACATAAAATTTTACTGTATTTCTGCTAGTAAAAATGTGTCTTTCTTTTTAATAACCAAATGGGGACATTTTGGGGTTTCATTCACTGCCCACATAGCTCGTCAGCTAAGGTATCCCTGATCTTAACAACACGTGAATGACATCCTAGTCTCACAAGCCCCCAGCAGTGCGATAGAGGACAGAGTTGTACATCCCCCCCCCCCAATATTCTCAGTATCTGTGTTAGGGAGACCCTGTGCAGCCCTATGTCGGGTGCAGATACACTCAGTGTCTGGTGGAGAGTGACAGTACCAGATTCTCAAGCGATGTCTCCTGCCTTACCCATCACTTGCTTGCGGAAATTAAACAGGGAAACACGTGGGCTCATGTAGACCTTCAGTGCCTTTAAGAAGACTCACTCCTTTCCAAGTCCAAAAATATACTTAAAATATAGGACTATTCCATGAGCCACATTCCAGGCGGGAAGGGCAGTATTTAAACTCAGACTAAGAGGCACAGTGTATTTGCACATGAATAAGATTTGTCTGGGGCTAGGGAGCAAGGGGCATTCAGCAGAAGGATCATGGTCACTGAAGGCTTCAGAAATAATTCAGGGAAGACCCTGAAAAAATTTCACACCATTTGTCTCTGCCATGGGACATTATCCAATACAGACAGAAAGGAAGGAATGACACCCGCTACCACGTCATTGAAAACACGACGTTCGGTGAAAGAAACCGCACACCAAAGGGCACATCATGTGTATTACGGGCTGAATGATGGTCCCCAAAATTTATAAGTAGGAGTCCTATCCCTCGGGACCTCAGAATGGGACCGTTTCTGGAGTTGGGGGTCGCTAATGAGGAAAAGGAGTTAAAACTGAAGTCAGAGGTAGGTCCTGGTAACAGGAGATGAGGACACACAGAAGGACGGCCACATAAGGACACAGGGGGAAGATGGGGTCTACACACCAGGGAGGGGGGGTCAGGAGGAATTGGCTTCAACCCTGCCTGGACCTCAGCCTCCCAGCTTCAGCCCTGCCTGGATCTCAGACCCCCAGCCTCAGCCCTGCCTGGATCTCAGACCCCCAGCCTCAGCCCTGCCTGGATCTCA